CTTCAACTCCCCCCTTTGGCAGGATCTCCAGTCCTATCATCCTAGCCAATCGTGAGGTGTTAAGACCCTGTAAGGGTTTTGTCAAGACATCTGCAACGTTGTTTGCCATTCCGACATATTTGATTTCCACATTGCCCTCTTGCATGTGATCGCGAATGAAATGATACCGTGTGTCGATGTGCTTTAACTTCCAATGTTTGGCTGGGTCTTTACTCACCTGTATGCACCCCTGGCTATCTGTGTATAGTACGGGCCGAACGTCCGTGGTCTCCAAATCCCGGAGCAAATATGAGAAGAATAAGGTTTCTCGCACCGCTTCGGAAGCGGCGACAAACTCTGCTTCGACTGCCGACAATGCCACACACTTCTGAACGTGTGATTTCCAACTCACTGGACACCCATATACATATGTTATCGACCCCGAGGTGCTTCTTCGTCCATTTGTGGGGTCGGATGCCCAGTTTGCGTCGGTATACGTCGTTACCGGTGTATCCGAGTGCTCGTTTGTCTCCCCTCCTAGGTGCAGCTGATATTCGTTCGTTTGGTTCAGGTACTTTACCACGTGGATGGCTGCCTTCCATGCACTGTCGATCGGGATCGACATATATCGCGCCAATACGCCGACGGCAAAGGCAATATCTGGTCGGGCTGTGTTGGAGACCCATAATAGTTGGCCGACCAATTCTTGATACTTCTTTGCTCGCTGAGGTTCACATCGCTCGCCTCCGGCGACGTTCGCTACACTCAGCATGGGTACCCAAGATTTCTCGTTTGCTCCTCCTAACCATTTGTTCACCATTTCCTTAATGTATGCCGTTAGACCCAGAGATATCCTCCTCTGTCTTCTATCACGTGTGATCTTGATACCCAGAAATTCTTTGATTCTTCCGTTGTCTTGCGTCTCCCATTTGTCCATGATCTCTCGCTTTGCACGGTCTACTTCATCACAACTGGGTGATGTTATTAGCATGTCGTCCACGTATGCTGTGATGATTGTGATCTTGTCACCTGTCCCTCTTGAGTATAGGCATGGTGCGCTCGGCATGCAATGGAATCCGATCGTCCGGAGATGTGAGTCTAACTCAATGTTCCATTCTCGGCCCGATTGTTTCAGACCGTACAGTCCTTTCACTACCTTCAACACTTTTCCGGGTGGTATTTCGATTCCTACTGGGGGCTTGAGGTATACATCATGGTGTATAGTGGAGTTCAGGTACGCTTGCTTTACGTCAATAGAATCCATTTCCCAATCTCGTACTGCTGCGACAGCGATCACCCCTCGAATGGATTGGATGGGTGCTACTGGTGCGAAGACCTCTGTATAGTCGATGCCCTCGCATTGAGTGAAACCTCGTGCCACGAGCCAGGCTTTGAACTTTGTTGGCACAAGGTTTGCATTGGTTTTGATCTTGAGTACCCAACGTGTGTGGATGGTATTTGCACCCTTTGGGAGGTCGACTATCTCCCATGTGCCCATCGCCTCCAATCCATCCAGCTCCTTTCGCATGGCCTCCTCCCAGTGCTTTCTGTCCTTTCCACTCATTGCTTCATGTATGGTTGGGTCCAGGTTCTTTCTCCGTTCCGGTCGCGTCGCTACGAGTCCATAGAATTCGCTGTCAATTTGAGTTTCGGCGATTGGTCCTTGTTCCATCACCTCCGCTGTTCCTTTGCTTAATCTTTCTTCCGAGTCTGTCTCCATATCCATGTATTCTTGTAGTGGCTCTTCATCTGTTTCGTCGAATATATTTTCTTTGTTGTATCCTAGATCTTCGAAATTCTCCTCTGTCATCATCATTGGGGGTGCCTTTGTGTCAACCGGTCGCCACTCTGTTCTGTCTGACCAGCACTTTGATTCCATGAATTTTGCTGAGTTGCTCCAGAAGATGTTCGGATTGTAGTCCGGGCTGTAGAAGAGCCAGCCCTTCCTTTCTAGACTGTACCCTAAGAAAATGGATGCGACGGCTCGCTGGTCCAGTTTCTTGTTGTCCCGTTTAACTTTGGGTACGTTTACCCATGCCAGACAACCAAACACTCGTAGGAGCTTTAAAGCTCGTTCCGGCGACTTGCCAAACATCGCTTGATAAGGGAATTCATTATCAACGCTCGGGGTGAGGTTTATTTTGAACGCCGCAGCTCTGATCGCATATGGCCAGAACTTCTTCGGTAGTCTCCTCTGCATTAGCAACGTTCTCATCTTCTCTCCAAGGGTCCTGTTCATTCTTTCTACCCGTCCATTTTGTTTGCTGTTGTACCCTACGGTGGTTTGCCACTCTATGCCCTTTTCTAAAGACCATTCTAATGCATCATTGCTTTTCCATTCCGTTCCTTGATCGGATCGGATCGCTTTTAGCTTCCGATCCGTCTGTGTCTCCAGGAACGAAACAATCCTTTTAAGTTGCATAAAGGCATGACTCTTTCGTGTCAATGGCTGTGCATACACATACTTGCTATGATCGTCGACCAGCACCAACGTGCATGTGTACTCTGTCACGTGGGACGAGTCTATTATTAGATCGACGTGGATAAGATCCAGGGGCCCCACGGCTCTTTCGCCGCTACCTTTCCCCATCCGAGCGCTTGTGCTCTTGGATCGTATGCACTGCTCACATGTCAGAGCGGTGTTTGGATCCAATTTCATGGTATGCTTATCCTTTAACTTGGTTGTGATCACCTTAGCTTTATCTCTTCCTGGGTGCCTGAGACGCTCATGCCATAGTTGTTGCTTTGAAACTTTCGGCTCATTCTCAATATGCTCGAACTCCTCATCAACACCTTCAAACAATGGTGCTGATGTGGCCATCGCGCTTTCTTGCCATGTGTCGCCTCGGAACTCCAGAAGTCCTCGCTCGCGATTCTTTGCAATCTTAAGTGTCATGCCGTTTGTTAGAAAAATTTGGCCGCCGGTTGTGTCCAATATCACTCGTGCTCCTTCATCTGTTAATGAATTTGTTGACAGAAGGTTAACATTAAGGTGCTTTACATACAATACATTTTGCAGAGAGATTTCCCCGTAATCTGTTGATATGCTTGCATCTCCTATAGCTGCTGCTTCCAAGACCTCGCTTCCGGCGGTAATTATCCGCTTTTGGCAAGTTCTCGGGTGGATGAGCATGCTGTAGTCGTTCACCATATGGTAACTCGCCCCCGAGTCCAAGATCCAATGAGCTGTTTCTTTTGTGTTCGAGGGGTCCTGCCATTTTATTGGGAGGGTGAGGGAGCACCACGCTTCCTATTTAGGTTCAGCGAGGGGGGAGTCCTTGGGAATGGTAACCAAGGCGTCGCATTGACTGATACCATGTCCCGGTCGCTTGCAGACCCAGCATCGGATTCGGCGTGATTTGCTTGCGTTCCTCGAGCTCGCGTGGCTGTTGTCGGCTTCGGCTTCGGTCTCTCCGGCCCGTTCGTTTTGATCGTCGTTGCCGGCGGTTCTAGCACTGGCTTGTTGAGGGTCGATCCTTTGTGCGGGGACGCTCTCAACAGCAGTCTGCTGGATGCTTAGTGCGGTAGCAAGGGCGTTGAAATCGATTTGATGGACGGTGGCAACCGTCTCCTTGTACACCGGATGCCGGATCGTGCATTTCTGCAGAGCCGAGAACAATGTATCATCGGCGAATGGTTTGCTGAGGAGACTGCTTTCAGTTTGTATGGACCGGATCTCTTGAATTAGCTTTCTGGCGTCCGAGTTAAACATCTTTGTATCGTTGAGTTGCGAGATAAGCGCAAGTCTGTAAGACGTCTTGGTGGCTTCATTCGTGAGGCTGTTTTCGATCTTTCTCCATACTTGGTTGAAAGTAAGGTACTCCTTGATTACATCTAGAACGAGGTAATTTACATTGTGTTCTCCGGTAGTGTCGATTGTTCCACGCAGGGCGTTGATTAAAGCATCGTCGAGGGAGCGGCTCCATTTCGGGTGTTTCTTGTCGTACGTTCCCTCGAGATGTTTCATCGCATGAGGCACGGATCGGAGGAAAGATTTCACGTGAGCACTCCAGCTATGATAGTTTCGTGACGTGAGCTTTGGCACGGGTTCGAGGAGCTTTGCTAGGGTGCGAAAGTTATATCGTTTGTCGCCATCATCAAAGTTGGAGTCGGAATCGGTGTCTTCGTCGGCTTCATCGTTGATGGCCTCCAGCTCGTTCTCGCTCGTGGCATTATTGTCGACCCGAACCTGGGTGTTCTTGCCTTTTCTGCTTCCTTTGGTCCTCGTTTCGGTGTCTTCTACCATGGTTGTCGGCGAGTTTTCGGTTAGCTCGGTGATAGCTTCTTCAGACTCTTAATCAAATGAAGATAACAATTAATATACAGCGTTATCGGGGTCACGATCAGACTCCCTTTTACCACAGCTGTATGTTCTATGTAATGCTTGGTTTTCATGGTGTGAGACTGAATGACAAACACATATATATACTCCATTCACTGCTCTGGTCCTATTCGAGGCAGGATGTGTCTCTTCATTTGTACTCCTGTGTTGCTATGATACCGGGTGCCACTGTGCTGTCACCATGACAACAATTACGTACCTCATTGTACTTCTCGCTTACGTGAGCCTCCCGTGTCTCAATGTCTCGGCCGTAACATGTGCATCTTGCTTGAGATGCCGACGCATCTTCAACTCGTTTTCTCAATTTACACGAAAGCACAACACGCCAAAAGCGCGTTTTGTTGGCTGCTGAGCAACAGCGCGAAAGAGTCAACTTCTCACAGCGTGGAGAAAGTTGTTTCTTGGCTCTCGCAGCAGCTGTTGCTTTCCTGCTCTTCATCATCTGCTCCATCTCTCAGCTTATCTTCCCGATAGACAGCATCACTCCACCACCACATCCATTCGCCACCATTAGAGCTTCGAGCATCGCAAAACCAAATCCAGACATCCAGACAGCCAGAGGAACTGCTTCAAGCATATTAACATCGAAGGCAGGAGCGCAACTGTCCTCCACCGGAAGTAGGCCATAGCTGCCCTCATATGCCCCTTTCACACACACCCAACTACATAGCTCGCAGCCATGTCATCCAAAGCCAAGAAGCTGAACGCCCTCGCGGCGCTTAAGGCTAAGCGCGATGGCCTTGCACCCACAGTACGTACCCCCACCAGACTCACGGCATACTTGAGCCCATGATCATGGACGCTGACCACCCATGTGCTCGCCCTTCCAAACTGCTGCAGAACGCTACCTCTGCAGACCTCTCAGATGACGACGATGCCATCTATGACCAAGTCTCCGAAGACGAGTATCGATCCATCCTCCGAGGACGCATCATGGACAACGACTTTATCGAAGACGATGACGGCTCAGGTTACGTCGACCACGGTCAGGACGAGTGGGACGACCGAGTACGAGGAGATGACGACGAGGACCAAGACACCGAAAATGAACAGGAATACTTTGAGCGTACAGGCAAGCGCAAGCCGAAGAAGGGTACCAAGGCACGTTCCAAGCTCAAAGGGGCTCATGCCTCTTCTTCAGCATACCAGAAGTCAAGCCTCACAGCCGCGTTCAGCAAGCAACGCAAGGCTGGTCCCAGCGGTCTTTCCAATGACCTCGGCGCAAGTCGTGCTCGAGATGCGCAGAGATTGCGTTCGGCTGCACTCGACGCCTACCGTCCTTCCGTCAGCAAAGAGAAGGAGGACGACTTCATGGCCAACCTCATGGGTAACCTCGATGAGTTTGGTGCTCAGGCTTCTACCTCGTCCCACGATCCAGCAAGTCCCTCTCCCGCCAACCGTCTCTCATCCTCACTTTCAAAAAAGCGCAAGCAAAACCAAGAGAGCGCCTTCTCTCGTTTCCGTGCTTCTGGTTCGATGGGCGCCAGCAACGGCTTCACCAGCCCTTCCTCTGGTGCTCCAACCAGCGACTCTGCACACCCGTCCAGCGACAATCCTGAGCCTCACGTACACGTCAGCGGCAGCGACACACCGCCTTGGGGTCCAAACCTTGGTTCCGACCCCATCTTTGAACTTGATGATGACCTGCCCACATCTAACAAGAAGCTTCGTGGTCCCAAAGGTCTGCCGAGTCGCATTGGCAGTCTCGGTCTCGGCGACGCAGATGCAGACGTCTTTATCAGTCATCCATCCAAGCGAGCCGCTGGTTTGAGCAACGACGCTCTTGCCTTTAGTGATGACGAAAACGAAGATCTTGCAGTGCGACGTGTTGAGGTCGGCTCGTTGCCTGCCGAGTCGGTCTATGCTCGCGGGCAGGCGTCTCGCACCAAGCCAGCTGCAACAGCTGCTCTGTCGACACCGCGACCGGCCAAGCTCGAAGCTGATAACAAGACACCCTCGGCATCCTCTTCTTCCGCTACCCCGATTGCTGCGGTGAAGAAGCAGAACACGACTCCCGCCAGCCGAAGCAGCTGGCAAAAGGTGCACACTGATCTAATGAAGAATGTCGAGCCAGCAACACCTACACCTGCTGCTGCCAACGGCGCGACCAAGATCGCAACCGGGAACGCGACCCCTTCAGCAGGCAAAGTCAAGGCTTTTGAGCAAGACAAGTCGCTCTTCTTCTACTGGCTCGACTATCTCGAGGGCGAGAACGGCGTCGTCTACCTCGTCGGCAAGGTCAAAGACAAGGATTCGGGGCGCTACGTCTCCTGCTGCTTGACAGTGAACGGCATCGAGCGATGCATCTTCCTCCTCCCCCGCAGCAAACTGTTTGAGAATACTCACGAAACCGACCGCGTCGTCGGTGAAGACGAGATCTATGACGAGTTCGAAGACCTCTCTGCCAAGCACGGCATCAAACGATTCCTCTCCAAGTGGGTCACTCGCAAGTACGCCTTCGAGCAAGCCGGTGTCCCCGCCGAATCTAACTATATGAAGATTCGCTATGGCTTTGACGAACCTCAACTCCCCTTTGACTTCAAAGGCCGAACCTTCAGCAAAGCTTTCGGCACCAACACCTCTCCGTTCGAGCTGCTGGTGGTCAAGCGTCGCATCTTCGGTCCTAGCTGGCTCAAGATCCAAAACGCAAGCATTGCTGAAGGCTCAACACCCATCTCGTGGTGTAAGATGGAAGTCTCGATCGACGATCCTAAGGACATCTCACCCATTTCGGATGCTGATACGACTTCGCCGCGTGAGACTCCGCCTCTCACCGTCATGTCGCTTGCTATTCGCACGGTCGTCAACCATAAGGAGAACAAGCAAGAGCTCGTCGCTGTCAGCGCGAGAACATGGACCGATCACCAGATTGAAGATCCCACTCCCCCGGAGCAGTTGCCTTGCTCGGTCTTTACTGCGGTTCGTCCACTCGGTAACATGTTCCCTCCTGGATTTGAAGCGGAAGCGCGCAAGGGAAAGATCAAGATCCACACACTCAAGTACGAGCGTATGCTTCTCAACGCGCTTCTTGCTCAGATTCACAATGCCGATCCGGACGTGATCGTGGGGCACGAGTTCAACGGTGTATCCCTCGACGTCCTCTTGCATCGCATGAAGGATCTGCGTGCCGAGCATTGGTCTCGCGTTGGTCGATTCCGTCGACCTAAATGGCCCAAGTTGAAGCAAGGGATGAACTTGAAAATTCTCGCTGGTCGACTCGTTTGCGATCTTGCTTCGGACAACGGAAAGTCGATGATCACATCCACCACCTGGTCTTTAACCGAAATGTGCGGAACCCATCTCAAGATCCAACGTGAAGACATCGACCCCGAAGAAACCGCTTCCTTCTTTGACTCGCTCGCCCCCTCACCCGAGCGGTTGCTAACATTCGTACGCCACTGCGAAGTGGATACGTTCTTCCAGATGGCCATCGCGGCCAAAGTTCAGATCTTGCCCCTTACCAAGCAGCTGACCAATCTGGCAGGTAATAGTTGGAATAAGACGCTGAACGGAGGTCGTGCAGAGCGAAACGAGTACATTCTGCTCCACGATTTCCATCGTCAAAAGTACATCTGCCCTGATAAGATCTCAGCTTGGGAGAAGAAACAGATTCAGCAAGCGGCGGAACTCAAAGCCAAAGCCAAAGCTAAGAACGCAGGTGGCGTCAATAATGCTGCTGCATCGGTGGTGTCAAGTAAGAAGGACAAGTTCAAAGGTGGTTTGGTGTTTGAACCCAAACGCGGGTTGTGGGACAAGTACATCTTGGTGATGGACTTTAACTCCCTTTACCCTTCGATCATTCAAGAGTTCAATATCGATTTCACTACTGTTGAACGTCCGCCTACTCAAGGACTCGAGGACGAAGGCATTTCCGCCTCCTCCACCGCCGCTGCTACTGGAGAGGATGGATCCGACAGCACTTTTCCTACCGCCGCCGCTGTAGATGTGGACAAAATCCCCGACATCCCCTCGTCCGACGTCGACCAAGGCGTTCTTCCCCGCATCATCGCCCAACTCGTCGCCCGTCGTCGCCAAGTCAAATCTCTCATGAAAGACAAATCCGCAACCGCATCTCAACTTATGCAGTGGAACATCAAGCAGCTGGCTCTAAAACTCACCGCCAACTCGATGTACGGTTGTCTCGGATTCGAAAACTCCCGATTCTACGCCCGTCCACTCGCCGCCCTCACCACGTTCAAAGGTCGTGAGATCCTCACTGCCACCAAAGATCTCGCCGAGTCGATGCTGCTAGACGTGATCTATGGTGACACGGATAGTGTGATGATCAACACCAATGCTACCGAGTACAAAGAGGCGTTGAGGATTGGGCAGGAGTTTAAGAAGAGCGTAAATGAGAGATATAGGTTGTTGGAGATCGATATTGATGGTGTCTTCGAGAGGATGTTGTTGCTGCAGAAGAAAAAGTATGCGGCGGTGTTGGTGGATGAAGATGGAAAGAGGACGACAGAGATCAAGGGTTTGGATATGAAGAGGAGAGAGTACTGCGCGTTGAGTAAGAACGTTTCGAACTATGTGCTGGATCAGATTCTGTCGGGACAGCCGACAGAGATTGTGGTGGAACATATTCACGAGTATCTTTCAGCGATGTCGACCAAGATCAAGACCGGAGAAGTTGCGCTGGATGACTTGATTATCTACAAGAGGCTGGGTAAGAATCCGGAGGACTACCCAGACGTAAAGTCTCAACCGCACGTCCAGGTGGCGTTGAGGATGAAACAACGTGGTGGTAGTGCAAGGATGGGGGATGTGATTCCTTACATCTTCTGTTTGGGTGAAGACGGTAGTTCGTCCAGTAAGACAGCTCAAGCCGAACGCGCACATCATCCAGACGAACTCAGGAGGAAGGATAGCGAACTCAAGGTCGACTACGAACACTATCTCGCCCTTCAACTCCTCCCACCTGTGGAAAGGTTGTGTGAGAGTATCGAAGGTACCGACCGATCGAGATTGGCGGAATGTTTGGGATTGGATCCTACCAAGTATTCGCATTCCACCACTTCCTCTGCTGGTGCTGGAGTAGGAGCGGGAGAGACAGAATTCGCAACCCTCGACTCGCAAATCCCTGACCAAGTCAGATTCGCTCAATGCGAACCACTTACTCTCACCTGCCCCTCCTGTCGCCAACGCTCCACCTTCCTTGGCCCTGCACACCGTCCCACCTCAACCACCCCCCGCATCCTCACGGACGCTACCAACACTAAGGAAGAAACCCGCAACGCAATCTCCACCAGCGGCATCCGCTGCACAAACGCCACCTGTTCCCTTCCCCTCCCCCTCGCCACAGTCACTATTCAACTCGAACTATCCATCCGCACCCACATCTCCCGCTACTACGCCGGGTGGACGGAATGTTCGGACCGCAACTGCGCCTCCCGAACACGTATGGCTTCCGTCTACGCTAAACGTTGTCTCGCAGTACACGACTCGAAATCAGCCGCCTTACTAGACGCAACTTCCAACACAGGCTCGCACCTCGCTTGTCGTGGAAGAGTAGAGCCTGTGTATAAGGATAAGCAGCTCTATGACCAGTTGGTTTACCTCGAGAGTCTTTTCGATGTGGGGAGGATAAAAGAAAAGGTTGGCGGGGGAGGTGGAGGAGTGACAGCGAGTGCGAAGGTATGGCAGGATGAAGTAACAGCAGTATTAGACGTGAATAAGAGAGAACTAGAGACGTTGCATAAGACGGTGGACAAGTATCTGGCGAGAAATGGTAGAAGGTATGTAAAGTTGAGCGAGTTGTTTAGGTTTATGAAGGTGTAAGGATCGCTTCTTGTATAGTTTGGTTTTGAAGCTCAATCTCAGTATCACATGTTCACTAGAGCTCCAAGTCTGTGCACAATCAGTCTATCGTAATTCGAGCCTCATCTGACCATTACTCTGCGTGAAGCTATCATCGACGAAAAAGCGAGGAACGAAGAAGCAAAAGGGTCAGCTACTGCTTGCAGATCCGAGGCATTGACGCTTCTCTCTTTTCTCTCCCCTCCCTAGCTCGGCCAAAAATCGACTAAGGGTGTATAGCCCGATGTTGAAGTATGACGGTTGGACTCTTTGTAAATCAGTGTAACTATGACTAAATGTAAACTCGTTGACTCCTTGCCCCATCGGTGGATTGGTAGATCCTAGGTGATGAGGCTCTGAGTGATAATGGGATATTATCATCATTTGAGTGTCCTTGACCATCTGTGTTTTTTGCTTGCTTTTTGCTTGCTTTTTGCTTGCTTTTTGCTTCGCTTTAGTCGGGTGATGGTGCTTGATGAGAAGAGGAGAGAGAGAAGCTGTTGATTGGCGAAACACTTACAATTCCTGGATAGCATCTGCGACGTCAACCACGCTGAACACCAGCCTCTGCAGAACGCCGCTACGATACCAGCAGAGCCAGAAGCTGCGAAATGCTGATGAGTCGATATGTAGAGGCGAGATCCATAGAAAGAGACGTCGTAGATGGTGAGAGGAAGGAGGAGAGATAAAGAGCAAGGGACGGAAAAGTGAACAGCTTAGGTTTGGAAGAAACTTGGCTGGAGCAGAACGCCAAAACAAAAAAGAAAAAAAAGAAAATGGAGCAGGGGCATCACGTGATACTATCATCGCCGATCTTTAACCCCCCTCCCCCCATGTCGACAGCCCACTCCTATCTCATTTCCTCCTTTTGTAGACTGACCATCAATTGGCTTGCCTACCCTTGACAAGCGCGAGGGAGGAGCGGTACTCTGATCGAGGTGTCGATTGGAATGCAGTGATGGTGTCAGGAGGATTGCAGTGCCCGATTTGATAAATCGATGCCGCACAAGCGCTAGAGGGCGGGATCAAGATCGGGATCGGGATCTCGATTAACACATCACAAGCCTACGAAAAGGGGGTATCAAAGTTTTTGCGTTTTTAAAAACCCAGGTTTTTTCAAGAGCGCGTTTTTCAAAAAAACGCAAAAGCTTACATAAGCTCTGCAAAGGGAAAAAAAAAAACCGCATTTTCAAAAATGCAGCTCAGGAGGCATGTTTGCGAAAACGCGGTTTTTTTATCACTCCACATTGTCATGGGCCTGGATGTTCAAGAAGCAGGAGGGTCACTGGTTCATATGGAAGGAGCACAGGTATCGAAGATCTAGTTGATACCAGTAGAGAGCATGGTTGTAGTGCAGTCTCCATGGAGACCATGGACTTCTACGGACTCACATGCAAAGGAGGACTGAGCCATATGTGAGGAGGGCCAAGCACAGCCATGAGGAGGACCAAGCTCAAGGAGCAGGCACAGCCACGAAGAGGACCAAGCTCAAGGAGCATGCAGATGGTTACCACTCAGGGGCTCGAGAGACAAGAGCCAAAGGAACTGTCACTGATCAAAGGAGAAGGAGCAGTGTCAAAGGAGTCGACACCAGGTCATGAGGAGGAGGAGCAGTGTCAAAGGAGTTGACACCATTAAGGAGGCACAGGGGCGCCAAACAAGCAGCAAGATAGCAAGGAGGAGGAGCAGTGTCGAAGGAGTCGACACCACTCAAGAGGCACAGGGGTGCCAAGCAGGAGAGGCCCCTGAGCAGTACTCGATGAAGAAGGTACTCTCTGGAGAGAGAGCAGGAGCAGCATTGCTGGCGATGCTGTGAAGAGGTATATAACCATGCTTTCTCATCATCATAGGTTGAGTGGATCCTCATCCACTCTACTCACCATACAACTAGTCAATACTTTAGAAACACAAGTACTCATTAGTTACAGTCAGCATAGCAGCAATCTATCAAGGTTGCTCCTCATCGTAGTGTGTGTGTTGTATCACCACTACCTGACATCCAAAGGTGCCTATAGCAGGTTAGCGGTCCAGATGAAGATAGAACTGAAGGCAGTAGTCCACTGCAGTCCAGGGATCACTTCAAGCATCAAGTCAACACACTGGACACTCGTGTTGACGCCACCAACCTTATCACCAACACCATCAACCTCATTATCATCAACACCCACCAACCTTATCACCAACGTCATCAACCTCATCATCATCAACACTCACACCAGACCTTGGTGTCATCATAGCATTGATATTGATCGTGCCGAGCTACCCCTGAATGGAGTGTCCACAGAGGTCAGCCGAAACCTAGATAGTATATACAACGAACGCCACCTGTTGTCACTGCACAACCTGATAGTCACTGATACCGAGACAATAGCTGTCACACAGTTTGATAGTCACTGAGTATCTCGACAGACCGACCTGGGTTTCAGGCGCGAGACCCCTGACACCCTTGATCACAAGTGTGACACACTTGCTGAAGCTTTCTATCGTTCTTCCATTGATACCCTTCAGATCCGCCTGCAGCTTGAACAGGAATGCACCAGACGCGAGAAAATACTGGAGGCTGAGTGTCAGGGGTCTCGCGCCTGAAACCCAGGTCGGTCTGTCGAGATACTCGGTGACTATCAAACTGTGCGACAGCTATTGTCTCGGTATCAGTGACTATCAAGTTGCACAGTGACAGCAGGTGGCATTCGTTGTATATACTATCTAGGTTTCGGCTGACCTCTGTGGACACTCCATTCAGGGGTAGCTCGGCATGATCAATATCAATGCTTCAGTTATGATGACACCAAGGTCTGGTGTGAGTGTTGATGATGATGAGGTTGATGACATTGGTGATAAGGTTGGTGAGTGTTGATGATAATGAGGTTGATGGTGTTGGTGATAAGGTTGGTGGTGTCAACACGAGTGTCCAGTGTGTTGACTTTGACACTTGAAGTGATCCCTGGACTGCAGTGGACTACTGCCTTCGGTTCTATCTATATCCGGACTGCTAACCTGCTATGGGGTGCCTATGGATGTCAGGTAGTGGTGATACAACACACACACTATGATGAGGAGCAACCTGTCAGGGGTCTCGCGCCTGAAACCCAGGTCGGTCTGTCGAGATACTCGGTGACTATCAAACTGTGCGACAGCTATTGTCTCGAGATACTCGGTGACTATCAAGTTGTGCAGTGACAGCAGGTGGCGTTTGTTGTATATACTATCGTAGGTTTCGGCTGACCTCTGTGGACACTCCGTTCAGGGGTAGCTCGGCACAATCAATATCAATGTTATGATGACACCAAGGTCTGGTGTGGGTGTTGATGATGATGAGGTTGATGGTGTTGATGGTAAGGTTGGTGGCGTCGATGATAATGAGGTTGATGGTGTTGGTGATAAGGTTGGTGGCGTCAACACGAGTGTCCAGTGTGTTGACTTGATGCTTGAAGTGATCCCCGGACCGCAGTGGACTACTGCCTTCGGTTCTATCTATATCCGGACCGCTAACCTGCTATGGGCGCCTTCGGACGTCAGGTAGTGGTGATACAACACACACACTACGATGAGGAGCAACCTTGATAGATTGCTGCTATGCTGACTGAAACTAATGTATACTTATGCTGAAGTGATAACTAGTTATGGTGAGTAGAGTGGATGAGGATCCACTCGACCTATTGATGAGAAAGCATGGTTATATACCTCTTCTCAGCATCGCCAGCGATGCTGCTCCTGCTCTCTCTCCAGAGAGTACCTTCTTCATCGAGTACTGCTCAGGGGCCTCTCCTGCTTGGCACCCCTGTGCCTCTTGAGCTGTGTCGACTCCTTCGACACTGCTCCTCCTCCTCATGACCTGGTGTCGACTCCTTCGACACTGCTCCTCCTCCTTTGATCAGTGACAGTTCCTTTGGCTCTTGTCTCTCGAGCCCCTGAGTGGTAACCATCTGCATGCTCCTTGAGCTTGGTCCTCTTCGTGGCTGTGCCTGCTCCTTGAGCTTGGTCCTCCTCGTGGCTGTGCCTGCTCCTTGAGCTTGGTCCTCCTCGTGGCTGTGCTTGGCCCTCCTTTGCATGTGAGTCCATAGGAGTCCATGGTCTCCATGGAGACTGCACTACGACCATGCTCTCTACTGGTGTCGACTAGGTCTTCGATACCTGTGTTCCTTCCATATGAACCCATGACCCTCCTGCTTCTTGAGCATCCAGGCCCATGACACTACCCCCCTCTTAAGAGCCGAGCTCCGTCGAGGCATGCTCTGGTCTGGTTCATGCTGACTCCTCCTCCTTGACAACATCGCCAACATCATCCTTCCTCCTTCTCTCAACGTCATCCTCCTTCCTCTTCCTCTCTCTACTCCTCCTGTTCTCTCCTCCTCTCTCCACTCTGTCTACTCACTCGTCCCCCCTCCGACACCTCATACTCCTGGATGAGGTCGGGACAGTTGAGGTTCTCTACTGGTTCCCATGAAGCAGCTTCCTCTGAGTACCCTCTCCACAACACCTTGTACTCCGTAGTCCCATTGTGTGAACGCTTGTCGATGAGTGCTTCGACTTCGAAGTCGAGGTCCTCATCTGGAAGTGATGGTATGGTGGGCTGTTCAGCACGTTGAGGAAGAGAACTTGTTCTTGCTGGCTCGAGCATGGAGACATGGAACACATCATGCACCCTAAGGTTTGCTGGCAATGTGATTCGATAAGCTCGGCGTCCTACCCGTTCCTGAACTGGGTAGGGTCCTGCAAACCGGGTGTCTAACTTGGGTGTGGGTCTCCTTGTCTTCCAGTTTCGTCGGTTGATATAGACCATATCACCCACCTTAAACTCGATGTCCTTGTGCTTCCTGTTATACTGGTTTACTGATCTACGTTGTGCCTCTCTGATCTGCTCCTGGAGGTACTTGCAACGCTCCTTTCCATCCATGAGGTACTCGAAGCGACCTGGATCATTGACTCCTAGTCGTTGAGGGATGTCAGGATGAGCTTTGGGGTTCCATCCATAGCATGCA